ACTGACCAGTCTATCCTGGTCCTACAAACCTCATCCTACATCAAGGACTCAGGGCATTTCATAAGCAAGATCAGCACCCTAAAACTCAACCCTGGGGATAGACTGGTCAGTTTTGATGCTGCCTAGACTTTCCAGACGAAGTCTCCTGATTTCTTGGCTGCAGTCTTGCTTTGGATTGATGATTGAACCAAGGCATACAGACTCTGTAGCCACTTCAGTTGCTTCACAGTTGTGTGTTTCCTTTGTCGTCATTGATTTTGGTCTTCTTGCCATTTAACTGCACTTTCTGTCACTTTCACTACCACTTGTTTCAAGTTACAGTGGACCCTCGACTTACAGACGGCTCGATTTACAGACTTTTCGAGTTACAGACTTCTCTGGCTGCAAAATTTAGATTCGACTTGCAGCCAGAGAATCGACTTACAGACCAGAAAAAAACCAAAATGGAATAAAAATAGAATAAAAACCACTGGTTATGGGGTTAATCAGTTTTCAGTGCATTGTAGGTCAATGGAGATTCGACTTACAGACTTTTCGACTTGCAGCCACCATTCCAATATGAATTAATTCCTTAAGTAGGGGGTCCACTGTATTGCTGCCTTTTGCCAGTAAGATGGTGTCATTGGCAGACCTTGAATGATATTTCTTCCACCAATTTTCACTCCTTTTCATCTGACTGTAGTCTGGCTTTCTGTACGATATGTTCTGCACACAGATTGAACGGAAGAGGAGACAAAAGGCACCTTTGTCTGACACCTTTGCCTATAGGAAACCATTCTCTCTCATCATAGTTTGTCATAACAGTAGCTTCTTGTCCACGATACAAGTTATGCATCAGAACAATCAAGTCCTGAGACAAACTCGTTTATTTCAGGACAACCCGGAGTTTTTCAAATGAGTCAAAATAAGTCTGTTTTCTCAGGAGACTGTGTTTCTGTGTGGATTGCCATTCTGGGTATTCTTCTTGATTCAGGCAATTCACAGCTCATACAGAGAACCCCTTTCTGAGAGCTGAAACCTACCTTCAGTGCTCTACCTCTATAGCAATACAACTCACCTGTCAGTTTTCCTGTTGTGGTGGCGCAGTGTTTGTGCGACCGCATGAGCCTTGTTAGAAAGATTCCAGGGTTCAAAGCAAGAGATCATGCAGAGCAGGATCTAATACACTCTTTTTCTACATGCTCACAACAGCCGTGTGAGTTTCCTGAAAGTTTTTGAATGGAATCTCTGAAAGAGGAGAAAAACCGCCAGCATCATCTTATATTTAATGACCATTAAATTGATTGGGGTCAGATTTGGCATGATTGTCTACTTTCTATATTTAGTAAACACAACTTTTTTTTAAAAAAGTTCACCGTGATAAATTTCACATGCTCTATAAATATCTGAACAGCATTTTTCTCTCTCTCAGTAGCCCAAAGCAGTTGAACTGAAATTACTGCTTAGGGGAAAAAAATCAGTGGAGCAGAACCTGGTGCTTTAAATGTTTTATAGTCACATTTCAAAGCTTTGCTTGGGAATTACTTTTTTTTAAGATGCTTGTAAATGTTTTTAAGACATGACAACCCATTCGCTTACCTTGGTTAGATCTTAAGATGAGAAACAAGAGCAATGAAATAAGATGAACAAGTCAAGTCATCAGTCTTTGAAAAAACACAACAACCCTGAATGCATAAACATCAAAGCTTGGAAGAATATATAGGAAGGAGAATTACTCATAGTTACTTCAGGAATTCTGTGAGTTTTAATCCAAAAAGGTACCGTATTTTTCGCACCATAAGACACACTTCCCCCCCACAAAACAGGGGGGTGGAAAGTCTGTGCGTCTTACGGAGCAAAGAAAACAGATTATATTTTCCTGTTTTCTGCTCCTAAAAAATTGGTGCGTCTTATGGAAAGGTGCGTCTTATGGAGCAAAAAATACAGTAATTTTTTTAAATTTTGCAGAATGTATCTGACTTTGACTGCAAAGCCAGAGGTTGTGAGTTTGATTCTGCACTGTGTCTCCTTAACAAGAGATGATCCATAGTGGCCCTTCCAGTTCTGCACAGTTCCAGGATGATGATGACATCCTGTAACTATAAAAATGCCAGAAGATTAGCATTACTGTTTCTAACCTCACAATCTCAAGTGTAATTGTCTTAAGCCTTAGTTATTGCAAAGACAAATTAATTACAATTAGCTCTTTATTGTTAACTTGTTTCTAAGCTGTAAATAACCATAAGAGGATTGTCACATTGAAAAGAATTACAGTTTTAGATCTTAGATTTGACTATTAGCTCTATTCCAGTTGTCTGGAATTGCCGAACTTTAGTGTTGTTTCCTTCTTTCATTATGTTTTCAGTTCATTTTAAGTGTCAACATGATTTAAATATAGGTGTACATATTATTATATATTATCTAATCATATATTTTCCACATCACCTCACTAGCTCCTGGAGAAGTTTAATTGTTTTGAGACTCTGCTTTCCTCAGTGCGCTAATCATTTTTGGCAGAGAATGTGTTTTGGTGATTTGTGAGCGCAGTGAAATTTCAGAAGCCCAGGCGGGGCAGGATCCGGGCCGGGAGCAGGCAGCCCTTCAGGAAAGGCCCGTAGCCTCCTGCTCAGCTAAGTGAAATTAATTCTGCAAAATTGGTAAACATAACGGCCATGCAGGGTTTGACCAAATGTCTATGCAATCCAGAGGTTGGAAAAAAATCCCCCCCTTTTTAAAAATTGGCTACTGATTCTTGGAGATGTCCTTGGAAAAGTAACTTGTATAAGCTTGATGCTGGACTCAGCATCAGAGCTGACAATTTCTTTCAAACATCTCTTAGACGTTGTCGGAATCCTTTCTCCCTTGGGTGAGGACTCACTGTAGGTGCAAGATTACCACTTCAGACAACAATCCCATGAGAACATTTCAGTAGTTTAAATCCAACAGCACAATAAAACTAGCAGACTCCATCTTTGTATAACTACAAGTCCCAGTTTCCTTCTAATTCCTTACAGACGTTGATGTAAATTTTGCCCCGGGTGATCTTGAACCCGTCTCAACACTGACTTTACCACCCAGGGGCATTGTGAGAATAAGTCATCTTAAGCTTATTGGAAGACACTCAGGGCATGTATGTAGGAGATAAATTAATAATGGGTCTTGCTTCCTTTACTTGAATGGAGGGACTGTTGTCTCTGCAGAACTCGCTGGCCAACCCTGCCCCGCCCCGTTTGTGTGTGTGTGTGTGTGTGTGTGTGTGTGTGTGTGTGTGTGTGTGTGTGTGTGTGTGAGAGAGAGAGAGAGAGACCTATGATGCTACCTTATTTTTCTTCCTCTTTCTCTGATATTTTTAGCCCCACGTGCCATGGGGCCAAAGCAAGCAGTTATCTCTGTGCTGACCCGAATCTGGGCTATAAATGAATAAACACTTCTCTTTTTTTCTGTTTCCGAATAGCACTCTCTCTTTTCCTAGGCTTTCACAGGTGATGTGAACTGAGATTGGACAGGTGGGGCATGAAGAGGCCTGAAGCAGAAGGAGGAAAGGTAGCGGAGAGGGGTTTGCGATTTAAAAATGGAGCTCCTCAGAAAATGGAGCTGCTCAGAAAATATCTGCTATCTTTACTCATTGCAGTGTTTAAAAAAATACCATCGTGTATTTATTTCTCCTGGCTTTGCCCATTTTTCCACACTGTGGAGGAGAACCTTGGGGTCAATTGGAGGTAGTTCTAAAACCTGGGGGATTTCTGTGGAAATGCCTCCAAAAATGTCCTTCGAAAGTAGCATTTCAAAGTAACTAGAAAATATTACTCATTCCCCTGAGAAACATACAGTGGTGCCCTGCTTAACGATTACCCCGTATAACGATGAATCCACTTCACGACAATGTTTTTGCAATTGCAAAACGATGTTTGAATGGGATTTTTTCACTTAGTGACGATTGGTTCTCTGCTTCGGGAAATGATTTTTTGCTTTACGACGATTTTCCAACAGCTAATAATCAGGTTTCAAAATGGCCACCACTGTGCAAAATGGCCCCCCGCTGTTTTTAGGACTGATTTTTCGCTCTATAGGCACCGGAAAATGGCCACCCTAGGGAGGATCTTCGCTGGATGATTAGGTATTTCGCCCATTGGAACACATTAACCGGTTTTTAATGCGTTTCAATGGGTTTTTTAACATTTTGTTTGATGATGATTTCGCTCTACAGCGATTTCACAGGAACGAATTAACGTCGTCAAGTGAGGCACCACTGTAGAAGTTTACAAGTTTATTTAGGTGTAATAGGACATAGGCTATACACTGTGTCAGATTTTAGAGTTGAACAAAATACATTAAAACAAAAAATTTGCCACATCTACAGCACAATTTTTACAAAGGCTGCTCACGAGTAAATTTAGTTTTGAGTTTGCTGAGAAGGATGAATATTTTAAGAGCCATTTTCTGAGCCACTTGGTTCCCACTGGTTACTTCCGAATTGTAACTTTGAGGAACTTTTTACACATAACGACGTCACTTGCAACTCATGATGTCCATACTCGGAGTCGTCTTGGCAGCGCAGTAATGGAGAGATGGGTTTACAAAAACACAACAACAACCTATAGAGCATGGAGGAAGGGTGAACCCATGACAGGAGGCCCACAAACCTCTTTACTAAGGACTAGAAATGCTCCCCCTTATCTGACCTTTTCTGAAGAATTGGCCTTTGTTTCTTCAAAGCTTAGGTTTCGAAATCACAGAGAGCTGTCAGGTTTGGACCCCAGGCTTCACAAACCACTGATGTGAACATGGTGGTGTCATAAAAGTGCAGAGTCTTCCAGATAAACTGCCTGGCTTCAGTTCATTTGGTTTTGGCTTCCTCTTTCCCTTGCCATCCGTCCGTAGCACATGCTTATTTCTCAGCTCTACGGCTTCCTGTCTCTCTCTCATGCTGTTGCAGGCTTGCCGTTTTTATTCCGTCTTGGTGGTAGTAACATCCTGGGTTATTTCTTGCTTTCTGTGTAAGAAAGTGGTTGGCTGTTTCGCAGCAATAGCTTCACCTAGCCAACAGTTCCTGATTCATCTTGTTCAGGGTGGGTACAAATCTGATGTGTAAAAAAAGAAGAAAAAGAAAGATGTTTTGCTTGCAGATCCGGCCCTACTGTTTGGCAGAGTGAGGCGGTTGTCTCAGGCACAGACTCTAGGGGGCAGCAGAAGAGCTTTTGAGAAGAGGGCGGCAGGCTTTCCATCTACCTGGGGACACTGTTTGTGGTACGGGATGCCGTGCCATCACCAGATGGAAGAATATGACTTTTGCAAGAGGAATCGGAGGGGTGCCCTCACACCGTTTGCCTTGGATAGTAAAATGTCTTGGTCTAGCCCAGTTTACTGGGATGAAGTACACCTTTCAGAAATTGCGAAGGGACAGTTTTCTTAGAATCATAGAATACAGTGGTGCCCCGCATAACGAGTGCCCCGTCTAATGACGAATCCGCATAGCAATAAGGATTTTGTGATTGCAAAAGCGATCGCATTGCGATGTTCTTAATGGCAAAAAATCACTTTGACAATGTTTTTTCTAACAGCTGATCGGCGGTTCCAAAATGGCCGCCGGGTAAAAAAAAGAGGCCACCCGCTGTGTTTTCGCGCCCTTTCCTCACTTACCGGGCAGTGAAAATGGCGGCCGCATGGAGGATTTCCGCATAGCGGTGAGTTTTTTCCCTATAGGTATGCATTAAACGTGTTTTAATGCATTCCTATGGGAGTTTTTGTTCCGCATAGCGACGAATCCGGATAGCAACAATTTTTTCGGAACGGATTATCGTCGCTATGCGGGGCACCACTGTAACTGAATTGGAAGGGGCCAGCCCCCTGCTCAGTGCTAGACCTGATTTGATAGGAAGAGCAGGTCTGTCTTTTTATACATGGGTCAACAGGGTTGGGTTATACAACGTATGGCTGATGGGCACAGAGGCCTGTAGTCCCATGCTTCTGGAAGGGGCCCATCCCTGGCCACAGATCATTGTGGCTTGTGTGACTGATCATTTTCTCCTACAAAAGTGGAGGAAGAAACTAGAGAATTAGCTAGTTTAATTCTGGACTTGATTCTGTCCAATAGGGATGATGTAGTAAATACCAGTAAGGGGAACTCTCATGGAAAGTGACCAGGTTCTACTTGAGTTCTTGATTTCAAAGGAAACAATATAATGCGAAACAAAAGAATAGACAGGTAAAGGGGCTTCCACAGTGGGTTTGGAATTCCAGGATAGGAAACTGTTCCCTCTTCTTCCTCCCTCCCTGTGTACCTATTGGCCTGTTCTAGAGCAAAGGTCTGGATGCTGGGCGTCCTAGGAAAATTGAATTTTCCAGGGTATCGGACCCTGGGTTGCTGTTCTGGAATCAGCTATCATACAGAAAGAGAAAGAGAGAGAGAAAGTGGGGGAAAAAGGTGTTTCTTATCACAGCAGCCAAGTAAGGAGAGGGGTGTGAGCACAGGGGTCGGGGTGTGTAAAAAGCAATTAGGAACTCTTATCTTCCTAGGGTTAAAGTCCAAAAGGAGAGAACTTTTCAGAGGCGGGCTTTGCATGTTGCTGCATGTCCTATTCTTGAATCCAGGAATCACAAGTGCCAATAACCTCTCTTCTCACAGATTTCCCAATCTTTTATTATAGTTCATAATTACGTCATTTTTTTCTACCATTCCTTAGAACTGCTGGTTAGCTCAACAATGTAGGTATATGGCTGCGACGCCAGAGGTTGGGAGTTCGAATTCCCCCCCTGTGCCTCCTTGGCAGGGGCTGGACTGGATGATCCATAGGGTCCCTTCCAGCTCTGCCATTTTAAGAATATTATAAATATTATGATTTGCACTTGAGAAAACTTCCATACCACTGAAATCCAGGCACCTGAGAAAATGTAATTCAGATTGGCTGTTCATGGGCTCAGATGTAACCTACCAACTGCAATGAAAGGGAATAGAAGTTTGTTTCTGAAAGGGAAAAGTGATTATGGTACTGAATTCTTCATCCAGTTTCTATGTTTTTGCACAGAATTTTGAAGAACCCTGTTTTTCCCCCCCTATGGATCTGTCTATACCTGAGTAAGAGACAGAGTTTTTTTCCTTGCAAAGCTGTCTAGTAGCCAGGGATCAAATAGTCTTTAAGAAAGTCCCGCCACCGTATGAACTGGCCCCGATTTACATTCAGCTTTGAAGGCCCTGCTCGACATTCAGATAGTTAGTATGAACATGGTCTTCTTAGTGATGGCACAATTTTTAAAAGGAAATTAGCTTCTCTAGGGAAATCGAAGAGCGTTCCTCTCATGCTGCTTTAAGGAGGCCTTTGCATTTCTGTTGTCCTGTATTTGATGCAAAAGTTCCTGGTATTGCTGTTGTTTTCTATGTGCTCCAGTGTGCTAGCTTCATTTTTTTACTTTTAGCTTGATTAATTATATCGTACATACTAATTGCAGACTTATTCTTTGAATGCCAAGCTCAGTATAGCCAGACTAGTACCACTTCAGTGAGGTTGCTGTTTTTGCTGTCAATAGCGTAGCTCTGGGTTGTGATCTGAACTTTAAAGGAGCTTTCCAATGTGCTGAACCCATGTCGGGGAAAGGGTTCGGCTCTTTGGGTAGTTTCCATAAAGTTTGGACTCAAACCCACATGTTGGGGTCATGTCGGGGAAAGGGTTTGGCTCTTTGGGTAGCTTCCATAAAATTTGGACTCAAACCCACATGTTGGGGATGTGGCTCAGCACCTTGGTGGCTGTTGGAAAGTTTGGACCAAAACCCAGAGCTACACCCACTGCTCCACTGTCATAGTAGCCTTCAGCTCCTGCTGCAGCCACTTGCGTAGAGGAGGGAAGGAGGAACACCATTGGGGGTGGGGAGATCCTGCAGATTTCATAAATACAGTGGTGCCTTGCTTAACGATTGCCCCACATTATGACAAAATCGCTGTACGACGATCTTTTTGCGATAACAATTGCGATTGCAAAACAATGGTCTAAATAGGGTTTTTTCGCTTTGTGATGATCGGTTCCCTGCTTCGGGAACCGATTCTTCGCAAAAGGATGTTTTTTAACAGCTGGTCAGCGGTTTCAAAATGGCCGCCGGGTGCTTAAAATGGCTCCCTGTTGTGTTTAGGGACAGATTCCTTGCTATACAGGCAGCAAAAATGGTCGCCATCTGGAGGATCTTCGCTAGACGGTGAGTTTTTACCCCATTGGAACGCATTGAATGGGTTTCAATGCATTTCAATGGGGTTTTTAATTTCGTTTTACGATGTTTTCACTAAACGGCGATTTTCCTGGAACAGATTGTCGTCGTTAAGCGAGGTACCACTGTACAAGAAATTGGGGAGGAGAGGCTATTTATTTATTTATTTATTATTTATTTATTCTAAAAGTTTGGACTCAAACCCACATGTTGGGGATATGGCTCAGCAACTTGGTGGCTGTTGAAAAGTTTGGACCAAAACCCAGAGCTACACTTGCTGCTCCACTGTCATAGGAGCCTTCAGCTCCCACTGCGGCCACGTGCGGAGAGGAGGGAGGGAGGAACACCGT